GTATATTATGCCGTATTTAATAATAAATAAAAATATGTGTAAAATATATACTCTTACTATCATTTTAACTTAAAATAAAACTAAAATATATAATCCAGAATTAATAATATTTTATACTTAAATAGTTAAATATGAATAATTATATATAAATAATCAAGTTACTTACTTTAATTAAATATAAATAATTAATAGTTAGTACATAAATAATAGGCATTGTTTAATAATTATAATTTCCAAGTAAATAATTGACTTTATAACGTACTGATAACCATAACTCACGCTTGACCTTGCATTAGGCCGTATATGACTCAGATCTATCGGACACGCAGTTTGGCTTCCGCGGTGGTCGCTCAACCGTGGATGCCATCCTGTGGGTGAAGTCCCGCGCGCAGGATGCGGTCTCCCGGGGTGAAGTAGTTTTTGCGGTGTCCTTGGACATCGCAAACGCCTTTAACTCTTTGCCCTGGGTTTGCATCAGGGAAGCACTCCGCCACCACGGGGTGCCCACCTACCTGCGCCGCGTTATTATGGCTTACCTTTCCGATAGATCGGTGGTCTTTCGTGAGCGGGACGGCTGGGGGAGACGCGAGGTGTCGTGCGGTGTTCCACAGGGCTCGGTGCTCGGGCCGCTCCTGTGGAACATCGGTTACGACTGGGTGTTGAGGGGTAGCACGCTAAGGGGAGTGAGCGTAGTGTGTTACGCGGACGACACCCTAGTCTTGGCGCGGGCGAAGAGCCACAGAGAGGCGGCGATACTGGCGACGGCGGGAGTGGCCCACATAGTCAGTAGGATACGGAGGTTGGGATTGGAGGTTGCTCTCGGGAAATCGGAGGCGATTTGTTTCCATGGCCCTAGAAGAGCACCTCCACCCGACACCCACATCACGGTCGGCGGAGTCCGCATCGGTTTGTCGAGCACCATGAAGTACCTGGGACTCGTGCTCGACGGCCGGTGGAACTTTCGGGCCCACTTCAAAGCCCTTGCACCGAAATTGACGAAGACGGCGGGTGCACTCGGCAGGTTGTTGCCGAACGTCAGTGGACCCAATTGCGCCAGCAGACGCCTGTATCTTGGAGTCCTGCGGTCCATGGCGCTATACGGTGCCCCGGTATGGGCAGATGCTCTCTGTCGCGAGAAGGTGGCTGTCTTACGGCAGTCGCAGCGAGTTATGGCGACGAGAGCTATAAGGGGTTACCGGACCATCTCGGCAGATGCGGCGTGCGTGCTCGCGGGAGTAACACCCTGGGACCTGGATGCGCTTTCCTTGGCGTCGACCTATTGTCGGCGTCGAGGCCTTGCGTCCGGGGACCTCAGCCTAGCACAGCACGAGAACGAAGAGCGGGATGCCGCAATTGACGAGTGGCTCGCAAGGTTGGAGCACGCATCGGCTGGCCGGAGAACTATTGACGCAGTTCGCCCCGTCCTCAGGCAGTGGCTGGCGAGACGTCACGGCGTCCTCACCTTCCGGCTGACGCAGGTCCTCACGGGGCACGGGTGCTTCGGCGGATACCTGTGCCGCGTCGCCGGAAGAGAGCCGGATCCACGCTGCCACCACTGCCACGGCTGCGTTGACGAGTCGGCCCAGCACGTACTAGAAGAGTGCCCAGCCTGGGAATCGGAGCGTGAGGAGCTCCGAAGTGTTGTGGGGGCTGACCTGACGTTGCCGGCTGTGGTCTCCGCCATGGTCGGTAGCGAAAGGTCATGGGCTGCCGTCCTATCCTTCTGCGAGGACGTGATGTCGCGGAAGGAGGCGGCGGAGAGAGAAAGTGAGGCGACTTCCGATCTCGCTATCCGCCGCAGAAGGACCGGGCGCCGGAGAGCGGCCCACGATCGCCGCCTGCCCCCCTAACACCAGCCAGAGGGCGGTAGACTTGGGGAAGTCTGCCGCCTAATCACCTGGCCCGAGTAGGCGCGCGCGGTGTCCCCCGCGCGCTACTCCAGACGTCGTCGTTGAGGGCGCTGCTCCCGCCCTCCGACACCGAGACGTGCCGAAAGGCAATCGCCGTCGGGGTTCGCGGATGATTCTTTAGTTCCCGTGGCCCCGACCAGGAGGCGAATGAGGCGGACACAGTCAGGTTTTAGTGGGTAGGCTGCCGTGCGTTTACCACCTTTTGCGCGGCAGGAGCCCCACATAACCCGTCGTTCTTCCCCAGGCGGCGGGTACCCGGCAACAGGGTTTCCTGACTTAAAAAAAAAAAAAAAAAAAGGCCGTATATGACTGTACGATGTGCACTTCGCGCTCTACCTTCAAAACGGTTGGTCGTATGAAAAAAAAGTTTAAACAAAAGTTGTAGGGAATTTTATAGCCTACAACTTTTATAATAAATGCAAATCTCATTTAACCGATAGGAAGCCAGATATTCGCGAAAAACCGATTTTTGTGACCTTTGACCTTGAATATCTTGAGACGCGGACACGATAACGATTGTGACTTTTGAGACAACATTTAGAATGACAAAACAAAGGTTCATACCAATTTGCAGCTTATTATCTTTCATTCCGAGGTGAAAGCCCTAATATGACTGGGCTATTAATGTTACGCATCGTTTACGTTATAATTAAAATCTTGTTAACATGTGTTGATGAGACTAATAGAAAAACGACGATATTTTTTGTTAATAAATAGTATGCTGAGGAAAATGTTATTATCGATAAAAAATATTTTTTTTCAACTATTAAAAGTATCGTATCATTAAACTTTATTGTTTTACTTAATATACATAATTTACTTCCTATTTGCAAAGTTTATTTATTAGATTTTTATATTAATTTTAAATTAAAATTCTTTTATATTAATTTTGAAGTAAAAATCTAAGTCAACTTATAACGTAAGTAGTACAGAAAAAAATTGTTTAAGTTTTCGTATTCGAAAATGAAATTATATTATCATCTATTTTAAATGAATAATTAAAAATATTGACTGAGAATGAAAAAGAAATTGGTTCTAGAATATATTGTATCAATATATAAATATACAGTTTGCATGGGACTAATCCTTTTCTATTTTTCTCAATCAATATATTTAATCAGGAACGTTAAAAGAATGGATAAGTACAAGAAATACGATTTTAGATGTTAAGAAAGAGTTCATTTTGTTTGTATAAAATAACAAAATATAAATGAAAGTAAAAACCGGATGATGATGATGATTTTGTTGTTGTTGCTGTTATTGTTGTGTTGTCTCTGAATCGAATTCAAATAGGCCGCGCATAATTTATGAGAACTATGCGCATTGATACTGCGCATGCGCAATAACATTTAATTAAGATTTATAAAAAAAGTTAATTATTAAATTACAGGATAATGAAAGCCGAACAGTTGTTTATTTTGAACGAACAGTTATTGAATAGTTCTAAAATTTTAGAAAAAAAAACATCAAAATATCTATAGTTTGTGCTAAATTGGAGGGTCAATTTTTTTATAATTAAAAAAAAACGAACAAAATTTTTTTTTGATAGAACAATGAAGAACAGTTATCGAACAGTTGATAGAGCCAAAAAAAAAGTGCAAAAAAGTAATTTCCCCCCGCCAACTTAAGAGAGAAATATACATATAGACATTCGCAGATCTTCGTAGTTGTCATAATCTGTGGATCTTCGTTATGTGATAAGTGTCAAGTGAAAACAACAAAGAGTGCATCGATAGGTATCGTATAGTTCGGACTACATATACTCTAAAAGCTTGAACTCTATTTACGTATGTAATACTAATCCTGCTATTTAGCTATTTACGCATAAACATTAACCACTTTGTTCTACCTATTACAAAAACTGACTTTGCGTTGTGTTTTGTGTGAGAATTATAATTTCAGCTGATTGCCTGGTATATTTAAAACGACATTTGTGTTATATTCGCATGTACCTATGTCAGGTTGCTTTGATGAAAGTGTCACATTGCATTTCGATTGTTTTAATTAGAATTACCAAAAGACTGGGCAAACCCAATCAGAAAAGTCCATAGGAACCAAAGAAATAAATGTTGTAGAAATGCAACAGTCACAGTTCTACAACTTTCAAAAACTGCTCACTCCACAATACATACTTCGAAAGATAAATCGCGAAACCGGTTCGATCACGAGCCGGTGGCGTGATCCGATGTGACGTAGGAACAACAGGTTTGAACAGATAAAAAAAATATTACATTTCAATATTATTGAATACCATAAGCCCATTGGTGAGCCAGGCCATGATCGTCTATTCAAAATACGTCCTGTTATTGATGAATTAAATAATAGATTTTCCTCAGTTGCTATGGAACAAAGACTTTCCATAGACGAGCAAATGTGTGCAACTAAAGTTGCACACTTTCTCAAGCAATATTTGCCTAATAAGCCACATAAGTGGGGCTTCAAACTTTATGTTTTGTGTAGTCTCCAAGGCTTTGCATATAAGTTTGAGGTGTATGCTGGCCAGGATTTGACTGAAAAACCTGAGAATGAACCAGATTTGGGCCCCACCAGTAATATTGTTCTTCGTTTAGCTCGAGGTATACCAAGATATGTCAATCATATTGTCTATTTTGACAATTTTTATACATCGGTGCCGTTGGTGTACTATTTGGCCACTCAAGGAATCCTGTCAGTAGGTACAGTTCAACAAAATAGAATACTAAATTCAAAATTACCTGATAAAAAGCAAATCATGAGTAAATCTACTCCAAGAGGCTCATATGAAGAAAGAGTGACTACTTTTCAAAATGTGGATATGAGTGTTGTTACATGGAAGGACAATAAAGTTGTCACATTACTTTCATCCTATGTTGGAGCTTTGCCTTTGGATAGGTATGACAAAAAAAAAAGGAAAAAATACAGATCCCATGCCCTAAAATTATAAGAGAATACAATGCCCATATGGGTGGGGTGGACTTGATGGACAGTTTTCTTGGGAGATACAGAATAAAGCTCAAGTCAAGAAAATGGTATATTCGTATTTTTTTTCACCTTTTAGACCTAGCAGTAATAAATGCCTGGATAATATATAAAAAGAATTTAATTGCCAAGAATGTGCCCAAGAAAGATATCCTCAATTTGGGCTCATTTAGAAATGAATTGGCCTTTACTCTCTGTAACTTAGGAGTAGTACAAGAAAATAAAAGGGGTCGTCCAAGTTCTAGTGCTTTAGAGCATGAAATACAAGCAAAGAAAAAAAGAAGTGCTGTTGCAGTTGCTCCACCAAAGGAAGTTAGAAGAGATGGACAGGGTCATTGGCCTCTGGTTGGTGGATCCCTACAATGTAAATACCCTTACTGTAAGGGATATTCAACTATACATTGTTCAAAATGCAAAGTAAATCTGTGTCTCAATAAAAACAATAATTGCTTCAATAATTACCATAATGAGTAATTTGTACTGGTCAGTTCACTACTGATAACATAGTGATGGAAATTTCCATCAACCCATTTTCATTGAAAATATAATATTTTCCTGATCTTTTTATTTTTTATTTTATTTTTCCCTTATTATAGAGCTAACCCTGCATCCAAAAAAAAATAATTTGCTTAGCAAGCAAAATTCATGCATTTAAGGTTAATGCAACGGATCCAATATGCGTGAAACTTGAGCCTGAGAACTGCGGATGGTTCTTAGATGAATATTTAAAACCAGTAGGATTCATTGGGGATCATACACTTTTAAAGATAGAAGACATTGTCAAAAAAAGTGAAACAGAGAGTGATGACGAAGAAGATTCAGAAGTTGAAGATCGTAGTTTTATGTCCGATGACTCGGATTCTGAATAATTTAAAAAAAAATGTATTTTTAATTTTTTACAATAAATAGAAGTAATTGTTTAATTGTTGTTTATTTATTTTGTCTTCTTATAATAAAAATAAAATTTGCAAGATTACCCTGATTAAAAAAAAATCACTTTTATGGGTTTTGATTTTTTTCCAATAGTTTCAATTGATTTCAATTTCTCTGTTTACATTTATAGATTTATAATTTGCATGTAGTAATTTATTTTAATTTTTTTCAATCAATATTTTTAATCAGGGTAGTATTATATATGTATCACTATAACCTTCTTTTTTACTAAAGATGTATAATATATACTTTAGTGTCACATAAAAAATATACACATAAATAATTAATTGATTAAAAAAAAATTAAATAACTATTTCTCTATTTAAATAATAAACTACTCCAAAATGATGCATAGTATATACGAGTCTATCGCTATCCTTTTCTTTTCCAAGCCCAAATAGCATGCGCACTCTCTTTCTTTAAGTGGGCGGACTTTAAACAGTTGCTATGCTGTGTCCTCTTCTATCGCATGCGATGGTCGGTTGGGACCTCTCAGTCGCACACATTCACTCGGAGCAATATTTTACTTTTTAAAATTCGACAACCGCAATTCTGGACTGATTTTTCGCAGGCAACCCTATACCACCGTGTTCAGAATAAAATAATCTTTAATTTCATTTAAATTTCATTCAATAAACAGACCGTTGCAAAATGCTAGTACAGATTTACCTGTTTATACCTGGCAACCCGATAGTTGTGACCGGAAAAGAATAGGCAACCTAACGTTTGCATATTCTATGGGCTTCATACTTTCGATTGGTATAGAATTTATTTAATAATCATACCGGTGAAATGTTTGAAAAAAAATTTTTTTTAAATTATTAATTAAACATACTCTGGACTGAAATTTGCTAGGCAACCCATATGGATTATATTTATTGACATATTAAATTAAATATAAAATACGTTTCATTAAATAAGCATCTCGGTGAAGGTCGTTTTATATCGGGATCTTAAGACTATTAGAAGCTAGATTCAGAATATCATTTTATTCAATTTCAAGATGATGGTATTTGGGTAATCAGAGCTTATTAGGCTCTGAGTCTCATAAAGAATGTTCTAATTATGACAGCCCGGTTAATTACATTTGCTTGGATCCTTAAATTTAATTATTATACGGTTACGTTCATATTTGTATGAATAAATGAGATTTCAGACTGATTTATAGATTTTTTTGAGACTGAACTAATAATTTAGTAGCTCCCATTACACATATGGGTATTTATTGGCTCTCATTTCCCGTAAAGTCGGGTAATAGGAGCGATTCTCATTTTTTGAAAAAAGTTAATTTGTGGCCAAATGCGTAATAATGTAACGTTGAGGATATCATTAAATGACAGTTAAATAAGTACGGATTTAGTTTCTAATAAAACGTTCCTAAAGTATCCATAGTAGCAGATGGCTGTTCAGGGCAAAATAAAAATACCGGCATGATTACCACGCTTGGAAAATAGTTAACAACCGAAGCACCAAGGCATGTCAAAATGGTATAAATTATTTTTCCAGTGGTAGGGCACTCTTTTATTCCACCCAACGGTATATTTACTCAAATAGAGAAAGATTTCAAAAAACGTGAACTCATTTCATCACCTGACCAATTGAAAGAAATTATAACGCAGTATTGTAAAGTGACTGCTTTAGATACGATTGTAGTACGAGATCGGAAATCAGCCTACGCACCAATTATTATTAAGCCAACCACTAGCTGGCACGTACAATTTCAAAAGTGCAAAAGATTTTTTTGGACACGTTCCAAAACAAACAATCTGTTAGTTCAAGGAGAGCAATCTTATAAAATTGATATAAATGTAAAAAAAACCATTACAAAAAAAAACATCAATATGCCAGATAAATAATTCCAAAAAAAGCAATAGCCACCGATGTTTCAAATGTATTAAAAAAACATAACAGAGATCAATGGAGAGACATCGCGACGTTGGCATTTTATAAAACTGTGGAAGATAGAAGGTCTCATGAGCTAGATCTTGAAGAGGATACAGCGGAGGTACCAGGTGACCTTTGTGAAGACGGATTCGATGATATCAACCTAATTGTATGATTTAACTTTATACGATTTTGTTAATATATTAAACATTGCTGTACTCTGCATTTTTATTTACTTACTGTCCACTTTTTTGTTGCATGACACTGACCCACACCACTGAATAATGTTAGTTTCATATCACGCTATTTCAAAACGGTCAGTTGCAAATATCTCTATAACTATAAGTAAGTTTCAAAATCCGCCATATTAAAATTAAAAACCTGTTTTTAGTTAATATTTTGGTAGTATTGGTAGCAATTTTCATTTTGTTACCCATTACATATACCATTGAAATAAATGTGAATTGATAACTAAAATTGAATAATTTGCTTCAAACTTTTTTTTTTAATTTCTTAAAATTTTTAGTGGATTGTTTTAGAGGGATTCGAAACTAGATGACTCATTTCTTTATAATATACATATGTATCGTTATCGCTTGGCTGCTTAAATATTAGATTGTATTATACAGGAAAAATCTTGCCAGCGTGATGCAGGAGTGAGGCAACATACTAGTATCACCATCACTTGGCAAGAATCAGGACTACACCCAACAACATTAATAAAAACTTAAAAAAAACCGACTTCCAGGCACTAAAATGTAAAAAATAACTAAACGGGGGTTTTCATTTAGAATAGATACCTAATCAGATACTTTCGAAGTCGGTGCCAGCCGACGCATAGGAAATCTAATATATTTTGATACGTAAAATACATATTTACCTATTAGATATTTATATCTTAAAATATTGTCCGCTGGCACCTACTTCGAAAATATCTGAATAGGTATCTATTCTAAATGAAAACCCCCGTTTAGTTATTTTTTACATTTTAGTGCCTCAAAATCGTTTTTTTTTTTAAGTTTTTATTTTTATATTTTTAGTGTAGACGTAATAAGCATGTAATTTGTAGGAAGAAAGTTTTTAATAACATATTCAATTAAACAATTTGTTAAAAAAAAAATTATGGTTGATTTTTTTAAAAACCACTGACCGATTTCGATAAAATTTATATGGGACCATCTGGGAAGTATACTTTTTCAAAGAAAACAAAAAATTTCCAAATCGGTTCAGGCGTCTTCGAGTAATCGGTGAACATACATAAAAAAAAAGTTTCCGACGACTTGAGAACCTCGTCGTTTATGGAAGTCGGTTAAAAAATAATGTTACCATTTTATCTTCCCAAAAACCTACGTTTTATTGGGCTAAATTTGTACAAATCTCTACAACTGGATAAAATTGACAAAACTTTTGATGTATCATAAAGTAGAAATTGCGAATGCAGATTAGATGAAAGTCCAGACAGACAAAATATATTAGAAGAGCAGTTGAAAAAAAACTGCATGTTAGTTTAACTTTTATTAGATGATTTAAGAGACATTAACTCACCAATATGTCAAATGACCAAAACACCATTTGTTGTCGATGTCAAAAGAACTAATGTTCTTCCTTAAATTACAAAAAAAAATTAATTCCAAATTATAATATTTATATTCTGTAAAAAAAGAACTTGAGAGGTCTCATCAAATTAAAAATAATATCTAACTTACGAGTATTATGTAAAGTTTGTACTTATTTAGCAGATTATAAGTATAGTACTTATTAAGTAAAGTTTACAATTTCTTACGTTTAAGTAAAGTATACAATTTCTAAAGAAAACAACAAAAAATACTTGAACCAAAAATAAATTTCTTATATCCACAATCTTTGGCTTTAATAAAATAATTTTTTTTTACTATATATTTTCTTTTTCTATGAATTTAGCATAATGAAATATAAACTACACAATTATAATTTGTGAACACAGTTGACCAATACAATAATAATTTAAAGTTGCTGTAACTTTAAATTATTTAAGTAAGTAAACTTTAAAAATAAAACTTTTGAGACTCTTTAACCAGGCAGCGTGTTTCGGTGAGGTGTGCAAATAAGTCTAATTCTACTAATTAAGTCACCACTCACATTCACATTTGCCAATGTGAAAAATCAAACATTTGCTACATCTCTATTGGCAACATAATTGGTTCAATGAGCTACCTACTGAAAAGACATAAATTAATGATTACCTGGTGTCCAAAACTGGGAGGATGAATTGCTTGTGTCAACACTATGTCATAAATAGGACTCGAGGACCTATGAAGACTAAAAGAAGACATATTTATTATATACTAAACATTGCTAACCTGCCACTTAGGCACCAATGTGCATTTCTGCTCATTTTAAAACTAACCATCGTACGAACAATTAACAAACCAGTATTGTTAAAGCAACATGATAGCTTACCAGCATTAATAAAGATATGTGAGGATTAAGATATAATATAGTGACATTTTTAATTTACTTTTTTAAACTTTTTCAGTATTTAAAAGATATTTTCAAATTATTTTAAAGCATGTTGTGTTCTTCTACAATTGGAAGTTAAATCTGAATGAACTTGTTGTGGGACGAAGATTTTATGGCACATACTAATCTAATTAAATTGCCTATCTATTTAAATTGCCTAACAAAAATGTACTGGCCGTGGATAGTCAGAAGGCGAACAATTTTGAACTTTTCTTACGTGATATGGGTGCATGCGCTCCACTTGAAGTATTCTCTCCATGATGTAGTGTAAACGTAAGCTAACCTTTTGCAACAACCAATTACTACCGTCTTCGAAAAACTCCTTGCAGCTTAAAAAAACACATTAGATTAAACCTCATTTACAATAAATAAATTAGAAAACATAACTGTCATAAAATGTATTTTTTATTAGTCTCAAAATACATGTAACTATTATTTTTAAAGATGAACATATTGTTGAGTGTCAAAGATTGCTTGTGAATCACAAACTATATAGAAATGCTGCACGTCAGTGAATGAATTTTATAGCTTTAATTTTTATTTGTATTTTGTGTCCCATGCTATATCATGCTACATTTTGCTAGGGCAATGTCAGTGCTCTCTATAATAATCTTCCTTTTGTTACCTTTTTTGTAAACAAAGCCAATATCTTTTACAACTTACCGCAACGAAGTAATACCTCCTTTGAACAAGTCAGCTTCTTTTAATGATTTTAGAAGCTTGAGTAATGTGGGTAGCTCCATTCTTTTATAATAATCATAAATATGATTTCTAATAGCAACATTAGCTTACTAAATCTGTGATTGGCTTCACCTTGGTCCGCTTTTTGTTGGGTGTCGATAATTTATTTTCAGACATCCCATTTTGGCCAATTTTCTCACGTATTATACGCAAAACGATATTGCGGCCAATATCAAGAGTTTCGGCTACTCGTTCTACAATTCGATTCAATGGTAACAACGGTCCATTATTTTGTTGTTCTCTTTCAAAGTAGTCTCGGAGGCGAACAACAAGCTCCCTGGCCTGACAACCGAAAACAGTTTTTTTTTGTATAATATATAAAGAACAAACTCTACAAACTATTACAAATAACAATTTAACAAAAATGAAAAGAAAAACAATGAACTATGAAATAGCGTGTCAGTTGTCACATTACACATAAAACTTTTTTTTTTTATAATGGTTATCACTCACTATGTGTAACTCAGCTCAGAGCCGGTTCAAATATTCAGTTCACAGTAGCTAGAGCCGTTGAGCTGCGGCTCAGTTGCTAGATAATCGGTTCACAGCTCAATATTACTTAATATGGCTCCGTTTGTGTAAGAACGAAAAAATATGACTATAATAACTTTTTTCTAGTTATAAGTACCCATACAACATCAATTGAGCTGAACTGGTTATCACTTATCCGTTATATTTAGTTAGAAGGCGCTAGCACTCGTATAACTCGCGTCACAGGCTAAAAAGAACGCTGGAAGAAAATGGAGAGGGTATGTTTGCGCATGGGTATACTCGCGCACCAAAGTACTAAGCCTATTATTTTATTTTTCATAGCATTTCGCTCGCGGCTTCATATATTAGTTATTGGTAGGGACATTGAAAAATATATTAGATAGAAAATCATTAAATAGAATTCTATTTATTATTAAAATATGTTTAATTCAGTGTAGAATGTTTAATCTACTTACAAAAAATTAAATTAATACGTTTAATACATTTTTTTAAATTATTAAGTTCTGCATTATTATCAGACTCTTTCTTTGTAAAACAATGTACGTCAAAAATAATTTTTCTCTTTTCTATATATAAAACCATTTCGTAATTAAAAACTTTTGTGTGCGCGATGGTATTTCGAACTGACGAACCAATACCGCGTTATAACTTATATGTAATTAAAATTATTATAACAATAACCATAAATAAGTTTTTTACGCTACTTGTAATCATTTAAAATTAAAAAAGTATATTTAAAAATAAAAAAATAATATTAAATAAAAACCTATATTTTTCAAATTGTCACTTATGGGGTTTTAGAGATTTTTGAAATTACATTTAGGTCGATAAAATTTCAAGTGCTGGCAACATTACCATTGTGACTCGCCCAGTATATATCTATACTCTTTGGACTCGCGAGCAAAGAGTATAATTATAAACTGGGAACTCGCGAGTCGCGGGTGTCTAATCAGTAATCATAGAGTATATTGCTACATATATAAATCAGTAATCACCAATGTCAATGTGTCATACAGTTGGTCATCTATGTCCCATACCCATAGTAACTTAAATATTTAAAAGTAAAAGGTAAGATATTTACGATTAATTTATAAAAATTATGATACTGCAAGTAAGTATGGTAAAAATTAAACTTGCTGTGCACTTATGTGAAACTATCTTGATATCCTATAATTTATTATAAAAAATACAACAATTGTCCAATAATTGACTCTTGTTTATTTATTTATTTATGTTCGATACAATCTTTATATATATAATTCTTCTGTGAGTGTGTATGTCACTGAACTTCTCTCAAACGACTGGACCGATTTTGATGAAATTTTTTGTGTGTGTTCAAGGGGATCTGGGAATGGTTTAGATTCACAATTTGAATAATAATTTTCATCTAAAAAATTATTACAAAAAGTTTGAAATTTTCAAATTAAAGACGTGTAGACAGGACAACGTCTGTCGGGTCCGCTAGTTTTGGTATAAAATAAGACAAAGCTGTAATAAATTTATATCTAATACTGATAAGCATGTGTTTGTGTATGACTTTTTACACATTGTTATAGCTATACTTCACTTATATTTTCAAATAAAAATTTTACTGCTAAAGTTATAGTTTTTTGTTTGTGGCTAGCTAGACTCATTATTTAAAATGTATAGCAATAAATTATTTAGTTTCTTTCATATTCTAGGTAAGTCAAAGTATTTATAGATGGTATTCTGTAATGACCTTTCTTTTTTTACATTATCTATTTTAAATTATTAACACACTATATCTCAACAGATTTATTGATTTGTATAATATGATTTTTGTAATATTGATTTATGTTCAAGACAACCAGACATCATAGCTGCCGATGTCAATTTCTATGTACATACAAATTTTATTAGTTATTACTTATTAACTTATATTATAATTAAATAATTAGTTCAGAAAATGTTATTTAAAGTCAAGCATGTCATATAAATCAAATTCTGTTTTAAAAAATATGAAATTACATTATGTTATATATAGGTGTATATTTCCAGATATGTAAGGATTAAAGAAGTATTCCAAAATCTGAGGGAGTTGTACTCTGGCTGTTATAGTCCTAGCCTTTGCAGCTTTGAACTCCATAGGAATTTTGGGTCTATTTGCTTCCATAGTAGAGGAAAGGTGTATAAAATAACATAGCCTTTGTTAAATCAGTCATAAATCTTTATTAATCAACATTTTTAACATTTTATTCGGTCTTAATTATACTTTGGTTCGTTACATTATCGAATACAAAGAGATCTTTTGACTTTAATAAATTAAACAAATTATATGAAATCTTTAGAAAAGTGAGGAAAATCCGTTTAGTCCGTCCTATGCAGGTATGCTGACATACATTTTGTGTTTTAAATAAATAACAGGAAAATTGACATTAACCCATTAACATCCAAAATGAAACTACCCATACATTGTTTTTAAATTCGGTATTTATTTACGTACAATGAAATAAATAAAAGGTTAATTGGGGTTAAAGACATTTTATTTCTCTAAAAAACACACTGTTCCCTTATACAGAGATTAAGTACAATATATATAAAGATAATATTAACAGTATTTACATGGTAGCATGCATTATATAATTTTTTGTTACTTTTTCTTATGTAACTTTAATTTGTTACTATATTATGTACATGTTAAAGGCAAACTCCGAAGCTCCGGCGCTCCTAGGTTGGACCGGTCAATCCTCAGGTCAGACTGAATGACTTAGTCAAAGCCCAAACAAATGTAAATTTTCGGCCTTTGACTAAACAATTTTCGTCAAACCTGGGAGAGACTAATTTGGTCAGGCAAACGTCAAAACACAATTTTATTAAATCGGGGTTTGACGAGTCAAACTCCGATATAGGTATGAAGTGTCTTATCTTCGTATATTTGGAAGCATTTTATCATTTAAGCAGCTTTCAAGTCTTAAGAACCGCTTAACTCTGCCAGTTCTGACACCTGATTGGTCAGCTTACGTGATTTTCATTTTTATATTTGAGATGCTTTGAGAGAATGCCGTGTGGCATTAGGCCCGCCTTTTGTACGATGTGCAATAAAGTATAAAATAAATAAATAAATGCTTTGGAATATACGGAGGTTAGTTTGTAAGATTAGGTATAAAAAAATAACATTTTTAAAATTTTGATGTTTATTGTTTTAATAATTTCTTAAGTAATTAAAATGGAAAATTAATCATTTTTCTGATATGGTGAGGCATTAACTTTAATGTTAATTGTTTTAATAATTTCTTAGGTAATTAAAGTGGCAAATTAATCATTTTTCTGACATAGTGAGGCATTAATGTTAATGTTAATTGCTTTAATAATTTCTTAGGTAATTAAAATGAAAAATTAATCTTTATTCTGGCATGGTGAGGCATTATGACATTTAGAATTGCACAATACATTAGATCTTTTACATTTGCATAATTTTGAAGAGCATTTTTTATTGCAGTGGCATTTTATAAAGCCTTGGCCACCAAATTTTGAATCCTTTGCACTGATTTCTCTAAGAGACAGCCGAACGTCAGGCACATCTTCGATCTTAAGAAATTTTATTTTGCATTCTTTTATTTGATTCCTCGAAAAAAGTGTGTTTATTGTCCCGTGTTTCGTGCCTACTCTGTATAAACCATCATCTGTTTTATCTTGTATTATACCCAAAACATTTCGAGCATCTCCTTTGGCTCTGTCAAAGCTGGGAATAGGTAAGGTTACAGTTTTTCCAATCGCGATTGGCGGAAATTTTTGATCAGATAATTGTTTCATAATATCAGCCTGAGCTTGAAGACCTTCTATCGCCTTTTCTTTATTTTTTTTTATATTTTCTGTCTGCGCACAACGTATGCATGTAACTTTACTTCCGAAGCCTTCATAGTCTGCGCCAAGTGTGCTGTCAGTGCAAATAACATGCACGACCTGATTACAAATAATGCACGTATGTGCGCCGGAGCTCTCTTTTTGGCAAATACAACAAACGATGTCTGAAGAAGTTATCTCAACTGTTGGAGAGTTTATTTCCTTTCTTAGTGGCAACAATCCAGGAACTTTGTCAATATGGTGATCCTTATTTTTTTCTGTGACAGAAGTATCTTCTTTCACAGTTGACGACGACGGTCCAGGTATTTCCATCTCATTTCTTTGTACTAAAATAAAATTTATATAAGTAATTAATGTAATCAAGCGTTATTTTGCAGAAGTCCATCATAATATAAAATAGAAAAATATTTAGGTACTTCCACACGAAAAATGACAAGTTAGTTATGCATTTCTTAAGTGCACCGCCCGCCCGCCCGCAATTTAATACAATACAAAGCGATACAATGCACCTGCACCACCACCACCGTTAACTTCTCTACACGTGTTTCGCCCCTACACGGGGCATCCCCAGCAGCAGTTAGACCGTTATTAGGGGCGAAACACATGTAGAAAAGTTAACGGTGGTGGTACAAGTGCATTGTATCGCTTGCATTGCATTAAATTGGGGGCGGGACGCCTACTCTCAGCTGACATTTAAAAATATAGTAATTTGAAACGGTTTTTGTTGCTACTTACTAGTGTCATCAGTATTATTCTGCTTCTCACCAGACGAGTTAATAGCGTTTTCTAACTCTTCCTCGGTCTGAAGAACCTTTTTTATTGAATCTGGTAGTGTTTCAATTCCAACATGAGCTTTTCGTCCTAAAAAAAAGAATTCATAAAATGTTAAGTTTATTCTATTTTCGCAGTTAAACTATTAGATGGTTTGGTCATGTTGAAAGGATGAATGAAAGGACTTTCTCATAGTAAGTTTCGGCTAGCTACCCGTTACACCCTGTAAGGGCATGTTCAGATTCTTGACCCGCGTCGTATCGTACCCGCGCAGAACCCGCACACGCGTTGTACTGTACGCGCGCTCGCCCCGCGGCAGCCCCGCGCAAAGCCCGCGCACAGGCGCGGGTCAAGCGCGAGATTTAATTGAAGTGTCATAAGACTCAAATTACATACAACACAAAGGGGCTTAGACGCGGCTTAAACGCGGGTGCTGATACGCTGGGCGAGCGCGAAGCGGGCGCGGGTCATCAGAACGCGCCCTAATATACTCACCAAACATCACTTCAAATGGCGATTGTTTTATGCCATGATGGTATGCGCAATTTTTCTTCAGTTGACAGAATCGGAGGCCCTCACTCCAACGATTAGTTTTATTATCTTCCATCCATGCGAACAATATTTGCTGTACATGCTGATTTGCACGCTCCACGCTTCCCTGACTTTGAGAATGACGTGGCTTGCCATGCACTATGGACAATTCGGGCCACATTACTTTTAACTCTTCTACGACACGGTTGGCGAATTCTCGTCCGTTGTCTGATTGAAGCACAGAAGGCGCACCTATAGTACAAAATATATCAAGGAGATTGTGCGCTACTTCCTGTGCTGTTTTTGTGTGTAGGGGACGAAGAATCACAAATTTTGTCAAATGATCTTGGTAGTTTAAAATATACTTGTAATCACGGTCAAGACACGTCTGCATGTCTACAAGATCCACTTGTCCCCGTGCGTGAGTCTCTTTAAATAATAACGGTTTAACGACGAGTCTCTTTTTAGGCTGACTCTTTTTCTTGTGACACGTTTCACATAAATCCAAGTAATAGTTTACGCACTCTTTTGTGACATTTGCATACTTTTTATTTAAAGCTTTCAATGTGAGATCTCTACCACCATGACCACATTCCTGATGAGCACATTCAATCACATCGAATAACTCGTCATCCGTAACGTAGTATTGTATATTTTTTGTATCTGACAATGGCTTAATCAATTTTTTTTCGTCCCCAAAACAACGTCGTAGCGTTTGAGACGGCGATACTGCAAAGACGTTTTCTTTTTAGCTACTTTATCGGATTCTACCTCACTGATAATCTGCTCATACAACTGTTTGTTTTTTATGTGAAATGAACACTTATTTTTATTCAAATTAGAAATTTTCTCTTTAAACTTTACTTTTGAAGCTTCTTTATCCACGTTTTTAGTAACAACAACACCGTTTGATTCACTCATCTTCAATTTTACACAATTACACGCCCGCACGCTCAATGAACGAACATGAAATGACAAAACAATCGGTCGGAACACCGCCAGAGACATTATGAACCTGTTTAAACATGTTCAGATCAACGTTTGACCGAGTTTTGCAGTCGCTTCTAGGATTGACTAGGCCAAAACCGAAACAGAATAATTTACTTTCGACGTTTGACTGAAAAGTTAGGAGCTCCTGGGTTTGACTAAAAATACTTCAGGCAAAGGGCGAAATTGAAATGTATTTCGGGGATTGCCTGATGGCTTTGGCCAAACCTAGGATAAACCAGTCCTTCCGCGAAGAGACTGTGTATCGGACTTTGACTATTACATACATATGTATTATAAAAAGATAATCTTTTTAAAAAATATTAACATTATACTAATATAATATTCATATTTTTTTAAATTGAAGACATGCAGTTATAAAATTTTATCTATAACATATGATTTTAACTTATTCTTAAAAGGCTTAATATTATTACAATTTTTTAAAGTATCCGGTAGATTATTATATAAAAGTACATCTTCACACATTATATTTTTATTGCCATAGGATTTCGTTCGAGGCTGCCAAAATTCAAGTTTGTTTTTGTTTCTAAGGTTATAGTTAATATATTTTGGTGTGAATGTTAACGTTGAATGTATACTTTTAGTTACAATTTTTTAATAATAAGGCATGTGTTGTATGTATATAATTGTTTGATATTCAAGAGTTTGGTTTTTCTGTATAGCTCCGTAGTTGGTGTTAGGTAATTGTAGTGGAATAGAGTTTTTATTAGTATATTTTGGGCTCGTTGTAACTTGTTTATGTGCGTTTGTGCGGCTGAACCCCATATCTCTATAAGGTAGTTAGGGTGTGGCTTGGCTGGGGCGTTATAAATAGTTGGTTTGATTTTATATGGAATACAGTTTGATATCTTTCGTAATGCTTCCGTAAGTGATGCAAATTTTTATGTTATTTAGTCAATGTGCTAGTTCCATATAAGTTTGTCATCTAGTAATATATAATAATAATAATAATAAAGCCTTTATTTTTCTGTTATACAGGTTTTTCATTTTAACATTTGTACATCTTACATACTAATAGATCCCTTTCGGGTATAGGCCTCCTCCAAGCTCTTCCATTTTTCTCTGTCCTTGGCAATATTTATCCATTCTGGTCCAGCTATTTCTTTTATATCGTCTGACCATCTTTTCTTTGGTTTTCCCACTCTACGTTTTCCTATTGGCCCCTTCCATGTTGTTGTTCTCAGTGTCCATCTCTTATCTTTATATCTGGCAATATGTCCAGCCCATTTCCATTTAGATTTCATAGCAAAGTTTAGAGCATCTATGACTTTAGTCTTGCTTCTTATTTCAGTGCTTCTGATTTTATCTATCCTTTTTAGTCTTAGAATGTTCCTCTCCATTGATCTCTGGCATGTTGTTATTTTGTTTTTGACTTTGCTTGTATACACCCAGGTTTGGCTGCCATATGTTAAGCAAGGTAAAAGGTTTGTATCCAGTACTATCTTTTTGAGGTTTAAATTGTAGGGTCCTTTTAAGATCTCTTTTTGTGCCCAAAACTTTCTCCAGGTTGTATTGATTCATCTCTCTACTTCCTCTTCATTGTTGTTTTCTTTAAACGATATTTGTTTCCCTAGATATATATACGAATCAACATAATCTGTATTTTGATTGTTTACTTTGATTGGTTTCGCAACAGAATTTGTCATTATTTTTGTTTTGCTTATGTTTATGTTTAGGCCGACTTTACTGCTTTTCTGTGCAAACAGGCAGATCATTTCTTTTAGTTCTGTAGCAGAGTCAGCGAAGATTGCAATATCATCGGCAAATCTAATGTGGCTCAAATGTTGGTTTTGTGTTCTAATTCCTTTGTCCTTCCAGTTTAAGTGGCGAAAAATACTTTCAAGCACGGCTATAAACAACTTAGGTGACAGAGGGTCCCCCTGCCTGACACCTCTACCGATTAGGAATTCCTCGCCTTTCCTTTCCAGTTTTACTCTGCTTGTACAGTTGGAGTAAATGTTCTTTATTATATTTATATATTTCTGACTGATTTTACATTCTTCTAATGCCTTCCATATTGATTTGTGTGTTATACTATCGAATGCTTTTTCGAAATCAATAAAAGCCATATAGATTGGCCTCTTAAACTCCATGTATTTTTCTATTATTTGTTCAATGGTTTGGATGTGGTCGATAGTGGAGAATCCTGATCTAAACCCCGCTTGTTCTACTGGTTGTAAATTATCTATTTGTGGTGATATCCGATCAAGTATTATTGATGTAAATAGTTTGTACAAGCTTCAAAATAAACTGATGGGTCTATAGTTTGAGATATTAAGTGAATCACCCTTTTTATAAAGTAGGATAATATCTGATTTATGCCACTGTTGAGGAATAATTCCCGTAGCAAGGATTAAGTTGAACAAATTTTTGATGAATGTAAGCAATAGTGGGGCTCCATGTTTCAAAGCTTCATTCTTGACGTTGTCCGGCCCTGGACTTTTGTCATTTTTTAGCTTTTTTATATGTTGTAGTTTTTCCTTATCATTGATTGGGTCTATGGTTAGATTAGTAATAATTCTTTCTTTTTCTTTTTCATCTTTACTGTCCAGGTCTTCTATTGGTCCTTTATAAAGTTTTGAGTAGAAAGCTGTTGCACATTTAAGCACATCTTTTCGGGTTTTTGTTTTTTTTTTGGTTGTCATTCAGATTTTTTATCCATGTTTTATGTTGTGTTAGTTCTTTAACCGAGCGCTTCGTACTTCTATATGTTCAAAGGTTTTTTTCGATGGTTTTCTGTCTGTGGTTATTGTAGTCTTCTGAGCGTCTCTTCATTAAGTCCTTAGTTTCATTGGTTAAGATCTCTTTATTTTTGTTATGAGGTTCGTTTTCTATTTTCAGACTTTTTTGGATAATGCCTTCTAAAGTGTCATAGTAATCCTGTACTTCTGTTTTGTCTCCTATTTTGTTATTCTTTTCAATGTTTATTTGTAGGTTTTCTTGGTATGTTTTTATGTTTTTTTCTGTTACTAGCGATCTTGGTCCATTGTTGAAGTTTTTCCTGCTTAATTTGATTGATTTTAAATTGATCTAGCTCTTACCAGTCGGTGGTCCGATGGGAAGTTAAGTTGGTTTATAACTTCTACATTTGAAATCAATTTAGGTTTGTTTGTAATTATAAAGTCAATTTCATTCTTCGTTTTTTGGTTGGGTGATGTCCAGGTCCACCTGCGGCTCTTTCTCTTTTTAAAACAGGTATTCATTATCATCATTCCATGTTCTAGAGCATATTCTATTAGAGTCTCCCCTCTGCCGTTTCTTTCACCAAAACCATATTTTCCCATGACTAGGGTTTCATGCTTTTTAGGCTGGCCAATTTTTGCATTAAAATCTATAATTACTGTCGTGTTCCCTGTTAGTTTCTGAGCTTTTCTTAAGTCTTCATAGAAGTTATTGATTTTTTCTTCTTTACATTTCTCGGTTGGTGCATATACTTGGATCAGAGAGATATGTGTTCTTTCGAACTGTAGTTGTAGAAGCGCTACTCTTTCTAATATCCCAGTAAACTTGACAATGTTGTTTTTAAGGTATTTTTTTTATGATAAACCCTACTCCATAGAGGCCTTTTGTAGTTCCAATGTAACAGAATATAAAGTTTTGGTGATCTTCAATCTCACACCATGAAACTGTGTAATGTCTGATAGCAATGAGCATTTTCAGCTTTATTGATTTTTTAGTTTGTTCATTAAATTTAATGATAAAACTACGTAATAAATTTGCTCTAACGGGTATAATTTTTTCAAATAATTTGTTGGCATAAGACCATGTTATTCCAAAATCATCACCTATTTAGTGAATTTTGTATCTAATCTGATTTTTTTGAGACAATAATATGT